ATGATCCAAGTTACCCTGCGTACAGAGTCTCCTTCGATCTTCCTAGATAACTTATCTAGGAAAGATCGAAGCGACTCTGCTAGCAGGGTAAGACCAAGTTCAAGAACACCGCATAACCCGAAACACAGGACATTATCACTTACTTTTTAAAACAATGCCCCACCTATTCAGTAAAAAAGAGTAAACCAACATACATTTACAGCAACTCTACCCCTAAATGATAAAAAATGCAAAATCTAAAACAACAAATCAACCTTGTATGAACTAAAATAATAATTACCTTTTGGAAAATATTGATCCTGCTAATTTAAGTTTGAAAATATGTTCATGTAATTTGTAATTGTAAGAAAAGCAAAAACGGTAGAGTTTGAAAAAATAAAACCAGTTTCAAAAAATGAAACTGATTTGAAAATTGAACCACAACGTCAACATCAATGTAGAATTTCCCTGTTTGGAAACTTTTGTAATTAAAACTGTTAATTCCAAGTAACATTAGAATCTACCTCACTCACTGTCAGTCTGTAATTATGTTGACATGAACATTTTACTGGTTTATCTTAATAGCACAGAATGCAGAAGGTTTGATTTGGAGACCTGTGTATGGGTCCTTGAACTCAAATCTTATCCCTGTGACAATCGTAACAACCTATGTCACTGACCTAAATCTGCAAACTAATCCCAGCCCACAGAATGTATTTATGATATGAGAGTTGTCAATTGTACTTTATTTGCCACAATTTTTGTGCTCTAGAATTTGCCCATTGAGAGGTTTTGGGTAGAAGTGAACAGCCATGTAAACTACCCAATTAAGCATGCTGTAAAACAAATGGAAGAAGAGGACATAATTGACATGGAATGTGATGGAGTAAAGTTCTGTGTCTCTGGGGTCACACAGGAGGTTCCTTTATATGGGCTCCAGACGACAGTTCAGGCGTGGAACAACCATGTAATACCAGGTAGTTTTTTTAATTATGTTGGTTATCCCTGAATTAATATCCATACTATTCAGAGATAAACAGCAAGCACTTATCTGGAGTGATCTAGTGTATAGATGCCTGGGAAACGCTTTGAGGGAGAATGGTGCTCTTCACCCTTTATAATGACCACATCATTCTTCATAGGGTCTGGTTCAATGGCATAAACCTTTCTTGCCGTAGCTTTCCAAAATGCTAAACCTGTTAAATTTACCAAAAAGGGCAATGTGTACTTACAGAGGTTCTAGTATTAGTACTGTCTTTGAGTCAGCAATTCTATAAACTACACTGTGATGTGAATGTTAGGCACTAAACCATTATAATAAAAGAACAAGAATTTGTTCTTGAACAAATTATCTCTGACAATTTCTTTTTGGTTCTAATTTAGAAATTACCTCTTGTTCCATCTGAATCCTCTATTGGTAGACCATTTACTGTTACAAGTGAAATAGTATCCAAACCTAACTGTTCTGCGTATAGACTGTTGATATCATTCGCATTGGCAGTTTTCTCAGTGATTAGCACATAAACCTGGCAGGTTGGATTCTGAATTTCACCACCAACCAACGAAGCAAAGGTCACTTGGAACAACAGATCTGTTGAAAAAGCACACACATGGTGAATTAAGAGACCTCTTAAGGTTCTCTTACAGCACCTTGCATAGTTACTGCTTTTAGACCTGAAAATCAGACAAACAAATATACATTAACATTAGCAAATTCCTCACTTTTGTCGGTCATTAAAATGTCATACGTATCTGACTTCATTAAAACGACCAACCTCAGACAAACATTGCAAATTAGTCACTCTGACATCGTAAGTGCGCAATACTGTTAACCCTTAACCAGCGATTTTTCAAAAGGAAATGCCATCACGGTCCGTGGGTCATTCGTCCATTTAATTTTCAATTTAAAAACAAAATTGAAAATCTATGTCAATTTTTGAATTTTTTCTTCCTGTATAATGGTTAAACATGTTTCATAACTCTTTTTACCATTTTCCCCCGAGAAATGATGAAAGTAAAAACAGAGCTCTTATTTGCTACAATCATATTAAAACGATTATTGAACGATGGATATTTTAGCTATTCCCAGGAAAACCGTTTGCGCAGTCATCTGTTAACTACAATGACATGAATTTAGAAAAAAAATTGAATGTTGCGATAAATTTTCAATTTTTGTTTTTGGACGAACAATTGATCAATCGATCATGCTCTAAGTGACGAAAGTACCAAGAGGGGAGGACCCAAGCGCAGAAGTGTCCAGTAGGGGAGGGGAGGGAAGAGGGGAATGGACTGAGGTGGGTAATATTGTACTTGTTCAAGCTACATGCTACCCGACCCAAGTCAGTTGAAAACAAAGATGCCATCTTGAATTGCAAATAGGACACTATAGGGACGGGGATCAGGGTTGAGTTCTCTCTTTGTTGAACCGCCGCTCTAACATCAAAACTAAGAAATTCCCAACCTTCTTTGCTGAAAGTAGAGAAATCGTACTTGCGCTTATTTTTTTTAGAATAATGTACATTTGACTTTGGGTTCCCCCTGCGTCTTATTACTTTGACAACACCCATGGTTTTTCGCGCGGTTTTCTACCTGCCTTTTTTATCAAGGTTGTGTTTCGGACGAATCTTCTCTCTGTTGTTGATGGTCAGGTCTCCCTTTGTTGAATTTGTTCGTTGTACATTTACGTTGGTCCATTCAGTATGGCATCTCTGAGGAGTTCCTATTTAAGTCAAGAAGGATTCGAATGAATTTGGGCGGCATAAATGTAGCTCGATTTTCACGAGCCTTTCAGGTAAGTAAACACAACCTCGAACCATCTAATTCCTTAATATTTAAGCCTTAAACATCTCTTTAATGTAAAAATCCTACGTTTTAGGTTGAAGCGAACTCGTTATATCTTAAAGAAGAATTTAGAGATATGGCTTTTTTGCCAAATGATGCAGGTCGGTTTAATATCGGTCACCTAAAGGATGGAACTTGTGGAGCCCTCTTCATATGCCCCAGAAATTGCAGAGCAGCACTCTGGACAGCTTATTCAAGTATTCTCATATGGGGTCAATCCTGGAAGCTCTTCAAGGCCCCAGCTCTTTGGTGGTAATAAACGGAAAGGTGGTGCCCTTGTGAAGGTTATCCATGCAGAAATGACCCAGAATGGTAAAGGATCCCCATCTTTCAGTGAGCTTGGGCAGACATGCCTTAACATCAATGTAGATACAGCCAATGTCTACTATTTTCTATCCAAGGCAAGAGATGCCTTCAATGATGCATCTTTAGAGTTGGTGTCTGGTAACGGTCTGAGGATAATGGACAACAAAGGCACTAAAGGTTACTAGTAATATAGTATATTTGCATTATTGTCTTTACCTTCTTATAACATATGTAGGTCTTGAATTATCCATAGGTCTTGACTATCCACACATAATCATTGGGGTGTATTATCAGTAAATTTTTTTTACTGTTTCAAAAATCAGTCTGTCCCAAACATACAGCTGAATATTCTTCAAAGTTCTTCTATGCAATGTCACTTTTTTCCTGAACTGCGAGTTCAGTCGAAATATTAGACCCAGGGCACTGGGAAAATATTGGTCCAGTTTGTGCATTGTTAGAACTTTGTGAAGTCATTGATCTTCATCGTCTTCAACATTGTATTAACTTGTGTCTGTGTTTTTTTGTAGGTTTGTCTTTTTGGAAGTGTGGAAGCAGAAAAATTTATGCTGTGAGGGTCACTACACATGTTCCTTTAAAGGGATCAGCCAAGTCAAAGGCAAAAGCAAGTTACAGTTCATGTTATGACATTTCTGATGACAGTGATGAAGACTTCACTCCAAAGAAGTCTAGAGGTGATAACCATGGAGATATTCAGATTATAAATTCTCAAATAAATGAAGTCAAATCAATGGTCAGTGACATATTGAAAGTAAACCAAATTTTGTCCTTGCCAGTCGGAGTAGTCAAACTTCTAAGAGATGCTTTCATATGCAAAATCTGTCTCTCCACACCTATGAAACCCCCAGTAATTGCATCAAAGTGTTGTAACAGCTTGATTAGCTGTGAGGAATGTGTTAATCATTGGTATGATGGGGCTGATGGACTTAGTAAGAAGTGTCCACATTGCAATGAACCAAGAGGACATGCCTCCACATTTCAGTTTAAAGGCTTAGATGAGTTTTTAATTGGGGTAAGGAAGTTGATCAAATCTGATGAAAGTAATGCCAGTGATTAATGATATGGAAAAGAGAAATAATCTACATTAATGAAAATACTGGCTTTTCAGTTTTGTTACTTTTAATTGTATTTTTTCAGCTTTGAACCATTTAATAGGTGCAGATTCAAGAAGTTGAATGTGAAAGATGATTTTGTTTGATGTAAAGCAGGGAACTGTTGTAAATTTGAACATTTTATTTCACATCTTAATTCAAATAAAACGACTATTTTCACAGAGTTTCATGAATTGTTTTGAAAATCATGATTTACCATTTCTACTTAGCAAATGTAATAATTATTTAGTTGCATGACAATAAACAGAGATATACCGAAATCATTAAATACTGTGGTTGTTCTAACAGTTAGTTTGGATTATATGTAAATGACCTCGAAACTAGGGTAAGCAATCAGAGGTCGGTTCTGGCAATTCTACTTTTTGCAAAAAACGCGGATAACGAAAATAAAAAATACCTAAAAGTCTAGGTGATTCTTCATATTTCACACTCAAAACTAAAAAAAAGGATACCTTTTTTAAACTTTCACTCGCCTTTATGAAAACCTGAGAAAAGTGCCCCCTTTTCTCATGAAAAGCCGGATATTTTTAGGATTTGTCTTCCATATAAATTGAAGCAACTTTCTTGAATAATATGTATATCTCACTAATCGCAAAAAAGCTGGAAAGAGAAATTTCTCGAGTTTTTCAGCTTTTTGCTACTTTCTTCAAAGTCGAAAAAAGTCGACTTTTTCCCGGTCCCTTTCTTTGTTTGCTATTTTTGGCGGAATGCACTCGACTGACAGCTGTCAAAAAATGGCAGTAAATTCTGGGCAATCGTGGCATTAATTTACAAGTGTATATGTAGTTGCACACTTTGTGTTCTGGCAATGTTTCAAGATGTCGGATCTTTACGTCAAAATTTAGATGGACAAGAAATGAAAAAGGGGTAAAACTAAATTCTTCAACTCTAAACAAAGGTCCTGGTAATTTATGCTTGATCTAAACCAGGGCATCTACGAACATTTCCTTCGAAGAAGAGGAGGTAATTCCACCAACAGATACTGGCTTTTAGCACGTCGAGGACTTTGAGAAGACGTACCAGAGGACAGCGACAAGAACAAATTTCAACCCTCAGCCTGGGCAGAGTGCGCTGGCCGTACTAAAACGACCAACCTTCACCACCACCAAGAAGGGTCAAGTGGCGTGGAGGAAATCGCTCGTGAACATGTCGCTGACCGAAGAAACTTCGTCGGTCGATGAAGGACAGAGGCTACTAAAACAACAATTAGGCTTTGAGGTGATTCTTCTGGATGCAAATGTTTCATCGACCGACGAAGTTTCTTCGGTCAGCGACAAGGTGCACCTGGAACTTTTCTCCAATTTCGCCAGACGGCAACACGTCCACCATATGAGCAATTTCTGCCGCGTCTTTAGACCCCTCTCGGTGAGGGTAAATGTTGGTCGTTTTTGCATGGCTACCGCACTCTTTCCATGCGTGGGGTTGAGATTTGTTCGTGTGGCCGTCCTTTGGTAGAAAAGAGGAACCCCAAGCCCTGTAGACTGTACTGCGGGCACTACTGAGCAAACCGATTCGGCAGTCATTCGTTCTCCGTTGACTGAGTAAGTCTTCTCAAAGCCCGCGACGTGCTAAAAGCCAGTATGGGAGAATTTTCTCCCCTTCTTTGAAGGAAATGAACGTAGACCTCCCGGTTTAGGAAGAGCCTAAAGAGCATAAATCTCGATGTAAACGTCCGAATCTTGAAACATTGCCGGAACACAAAGTGTGTGTACATATGAACAACTGTAAATTAACGTCACAATTCACTGCTCACAATTACCTGTCATTTTTGACAGTTGTCAGTTGAAAGGACTGAAGATTGGGATTCCCGCCTTTATTTGACAGCTGTCCGCCCAAAAAGACCAAACAAAGAAAGAGGAAAAAGGTCGACTTTGTTTTACTTTGAAGAAAAAGGAAAAAGTAGAAAAAACTCGAGAAATGTCTCTTTCCAGTTTTTTTGCGATTCGTGAGATATAAATATTACTCAAGAAAGTTGCTTCACTTTATATCGCAGAAAAATCTTTAAAATATCTGGCTTTTCATGAGAAAAGGGGGCACTTTTCTCAAGTTTCCATAATGGCGACTGGAAGTTAAAAAAGGGTTTCCTTTTTTCCGTTTTGAGTATAGAATACAAGTAAAGATATTGATTTTTAGGCGTTTTTCATTTTCTTAATCTGCGTTTTTTGCAAAAAGTAGAATTGCCGGAACCGACCACTGATTGTAAGCAGCATTAAAGTTATCAAAACGCAATTGCTGGAGCTGTTCGTTCCCAGCTAGGATATCAGTTCCAAACACTTCTGGAGATCCAAGATTGTCCCCATCCCTTTCATAGGCAGATACAGCTTCTTCACCAGTGGGAAGCATGTCTATAGATGGAAGGATAAATGTCTTCTTAGTTTCCTCTATTCTTTTATCTGGAACTCCCTTCCCTGTTACAATAGAAAGACTGATGTTCAAGAAGAAAGATGTCTCTTGACACTAAAAACAATAATCATTAACCCTTTAAGTCCCAATAGTGACCAACAGCAATTTTCTCCTAACAATGTCCATACATTCTCAAGATAAGGTTGTAAGAATATAAAAAATGATCACGAAAGAAAAAATGCATTAATGTTTTATTAAATTCTCTCAACTTATTCTTAAAGGTAATGTATGGAGATCAGTTTGGAGAATTTGTATGTGGATACTGGGGTTTAAAGGGTTAAGATATTCAGTTTTTTTACAATTTTTGTTATTGGTGTAGCAGTTCCACACTCAGAAAGTTAATTATCCCAACAGATGACTATCGAGTGATTTAATTTACCTGAGAATGTGGTGTTTTTTAAGAGACCCCTTCTTAATTCTCGTTACCTGTCATATTTAACTTGGCAGTTATTCAAACTCCTGGTACAGTTAAAAACTTGGGATTAATATCGATTTTCCATAGGCTGGGTTTACTGAACCACCACCACCTCAATAAACTCTTACCATGGATAGCATGGTTGTTCCAGCTGGAAATAACTTGTTTGATTCCAAAGTCTGCTACCCTGGAGGTAAACTTTGTTTAATAGGGTAGTTGACATGGGAGTTAAACTCTACCCATTTTCTCTCAGCAGGATGATTCTTGAAATGAGAAAAATAATAGTAAATGATAATAATAAATTTAATGATAAATGGTTATAATAATAATAATAATAATAATAATAATGGTGACATATTCACTAAACAAACACCTGCTTCGAAGTTGTTTGTATAAACGGTGCCCTTCTTGTATTGGTCCTATATGGAGACTTTTTTTCTTGTACATACAAAGAGAGATAGAACTCTGTTCCATGGTCTACCCTGCGTTGATCCCAAATGCCATGCTGAATGACCGCAGTTCTTCAAAGAGAGAAGCAATTATAAGATGTAATATTTAAACATCAATAACACATACAAAGGTGAGTAAATAAACGTAAATCAAATTTTAATATGATCTATGCTTGTTTTCGTGATGTATTCATCACTGTCACTTGGCTTCTTCTCTTTTTTTACTATTTATACTCTTGCTGGTACTTCTTATCTGGAAGTGCTTGTTGTTAAGGTGGCAACACTGCTGCAATAATTATAATATTATTATCACCTATAGTAATAATGGCAATAATTAAAGAATTGTTGAATACTGTACCTGTAAACATTGTTCTTCACTGGCATTGTTGCAAAAGCCACAATCTTTCCACTATAGCCATCACATGCACTGACTTCAGTCAATCCATACATTGCCAGTTTTTCATTTTGGTCCATGTACAATTTGTGACCAAAATAGTCAGCATGGTAAGGATAGGAATTGGTTTGCCTGGCAGTGTTGGTATTTCTCTGGACTTGTTACAGAGGAGATACGATTGACAAAGCTTTTCCAATGCACTTGTCACCAGCTGTTATACCACAACTGGCCTTATATCCTTTCACCATTTTTCTACCCCATGTGGGTCCAACCTTGAGTAAAACACATCAAGAACTTAATATGATATATTTCAACTGTCTTTGAGATGGACACCTTTAGGAGACATCTCCAAGTTGCCAATTTAAAAAGTGTCCTCCCACAGAAAGTTGATTAGTTAAGAGGGAGTAGGCTGTGTACAGACGTCCCCGCTCCCTCAGAAAAAAATTGAATTTTTTTCTGATGGAGGGGGGACCTCCATACATAGGCTAAGAGGGAGTTCACGGAGAGCGTATACTTTTGGCGTCATCAATTTGCAACATCATAGTTATTGCATTTTGGCTGAGACTTCCAGACTTTGCCTATAGAAAAGGTAAGGTTTTACTCCTCCTATGATGGTGAAATTTAAGTGTATTAGACATATATCAGTCTGCCAATGGTGATCAATATTGATTTGGAATAGAGTGAGGATTTCATCTCCCCCCCTTAGGGGTGCAGTCCCTTGTTTGGCCTAGACGGGTACGTGGCGCTGAACAGGGTGTGGTATCTGGGTCTTGAGTCTTAAACAGGTTATACAATTTAACTATTGAGCGCCTTGAACAAGGTGTCCTTATGGACCAGTAGCCTTGAAAAGATTGTGAAGGTTGGCGATGAACGGTTTACGTGTGGTACCAACAACGTTTCTCCGAATAATATACATCCATGATGTTACTTTGTAAAAAATTTCTTAATTCAACCGTTTTTTTCGTTGCAGGAAAAAAAAATTTCAAGCAAAAATACCCTCCCAAGCAACAACGTCTTTCGTGTAGTGTTCCAGCTCTTCGTTTGACAGCCGATTTTGCGCGTGTATTCCATATTTAAGGCAAAACCTTGTAACGGACCGCGAACTTATGCCTCTCTTTCCAGCATATGCTTCTTGTAGCAACAAACTGACTTGTGAATGTGTTTTTCCCTGCATCACAAGATCTCTCACGAAATCGACGTTTAGGGCATCCATATTTATGCTGAAACAGCACTTCAAAGTTGTATTTCCCGCTTCTTTCTTAAGGCTAGTTCCCAGGACGTATCTGACATTAAAGATGGCGGACAATTGCAAGGCCCTTTCCCATGTTCCACCCCACTTCCATCCCGTCTCCCTTCTATCCCTCCCACCCCCACTCTTCCTGGGCACTTCTGCACTTGGGTCCTCCCCTGTTGATACTTTCGTCACTTCGAGCATGATATTGATCAATTCTTTGCCCAAAAACAAAAATTGAAAATTGATCGCAACATTCAATTTTTAGTTTTTTCTCTCAATTCACGTCATTGTAGTTATCAGATGACTGCGGAAACGGTTTTCCCGCAAATAGCTAAAATATCCATGGTTCGATAACTGTTTTAATATTGATTGTAGCAAATAAGAGCTGTGTGTTTATTTTCTCATTTTTGTTTATAGGGGAAAATGGTAAAAAGAGTTATGAAACATGTTTATCCATTATACTGGAAGAAAAAAATGGAAAATCAAAAATTAACATCGATTTTCAATTTTTGCTTTTAAATTGAAAATTAAATGGGCGAATTACCAACGGACCCATCACTCCAAGTCTGTGGTGAAAATATGCTGACAGTTTCTATCCAACACTACAACTCCTGGTGTCATTAATTATACTCAGGTTTGTATCAGTTAATTGTCATTTTCGATGTGTAACAAATACTTGAATGAGGAGAAACTATTCACGACAGTATGGCCATCGAGCACGTGTTGGGTTGATGGAAAATCGGTATTTCCGAATACTTGGAATTGGAAATCTGGACTGTCCCGAGACTAAGACCTGGAGTCCTACAACTAGGGGTAGCTGTTGTTGTTTAGGGTTGTGTTTTAAGATGTAGAAGTAAAGTAATATACTTTACAGAAGAGTGGATATAAATGAAACAAAATGTCAGAGAAATGATGCACCTCCACTGCTTTAATTTCACCAAAATTCTCAGGTTTGTGACATCTAGGTATCTTGAGTTTCTCCAGCTCGTGCAACTCGTTTCGCCATCGTTTCCATTTCAGTCTAAGGTTCTCACCAATTGGGTCGTTCCAGTCGGTGTTGTTACGACATAAATTTTGTAGTATTTGTTTTCCCATCAGAATGAGGGGTGCCACAAAACCAAGTGGGTCATATACAGAACACACGGTGGTCAGGATCCCTCTCCTAGTAAGTGAACGATCTTGAATAACGATTCTGAACTGGAATGTGTCTGATTCAGCACACCACATGATGCCAAGAGTTTGTTCTATTGGCAAGGGGTCACACGCGAGGTCCAATTCTTGTAATCCTTTTGCACAATCTTCCAGGGCAACAGCCTGAATGACTTCTTTCTTATTGCTGCTGAACTTGTGTAATCTGAGGCCAGCCTTTGCACACATGGCTTGTGTGTTACGAATGAGGTCGACGGCAGTTTTAGCAGATGGTACTGACTTCAATCCATCGTCTACATAAAAGTCTTTACGCACAAAGTTTGCCGCGTGCATGCCAAACTCCATTTCTCCGTCATCGGCCGCTCTCTTGAAGCCAAAGTTTGCGCACCCTGGAGACGAGACTGCTCCGAAAAGGTATACTTTCATTCTATATTCCCCTGGGTCGCTCTTTATATCTCCTTTATCCCACCAGAAGAATCTGAGGAGGTCTCTGTGTTCTTTATTGACGAAGAACTGATAAAACATCCCTTTCACATCACAGGTCACGGCTACCCACTCTTGGCGGAAACGGCAGAGGACACCTGTTAAACTGTTTGTCATGTCAGGTCCTGAAAGTAAGCTCTTATTCAAGGGTGTTCCTTTGTACGTTGCACTGCAGTCAAAGACCACTCTTATCTGTGAAGGTTTTTTGGGATGGTATATCCCATGATGTGGAACGTAGTTAATCTTGCCTTCTCCGATCGCACTGTTAATCCTTTCTTCCAAAGGAACTTCCTCTGCACAATTCTTAATGGTTTCCTCCATGAAGTCAGTGTAATCTTTGTGAAAACTTGGGTCTCTCTTGAAACGCGCCTTTAGCGTAAGCAATCTTCTCAACGCTAGAGATTTGTTGCTAGGCAGCGTAACATCTTGTGAACGAAGCGGTAACGGCATTTCGTAGTGGCCATCACTGGTCTTGTGGATACCTTTGACCAATATTCTAGAAATCTTCTATCATCAACTGACGGGGTTCGCATATGTGAATTCTTAGGTTCAACTATCTCCTGAAAGTCTCTTTCAAACGTCTGCTTAACGCACACAGGGCTTATGATCTCTGTCGTCCTAGTCTCCAAGGCAAAGCTTGTCTCCTCTCATGACACAATTCTGTTCGTCCAACTTCCAGGCGAGTCTTCATAATCTCCAGGTAGAGTCTTACACACTCTGCCAATAATACCCCATCCAAGGTCAGTTTTGATACCATATGGATCATGGTCTACTCCTGGGATCACTTCACGTGGCTTTAATAGCCTTAGGACAGTTAGTTCCTATCAACAGTCCGACCTCTATATCATCTCTGTAAGGCATGAGCTCCGACGCAATACGTTTAAGATGATCCCACTGCATGGCAACCTCAGGCTTTGGAATCTGAGAGGGCTTGAACGGTATACTGTTTCTCATGTAGACCTTTGGTAAGGAGATGCTAACCTGTCTCTTGAAATCTGTTGCCACGAGGCCTTGTACTTTCTTGCACTGGATCAACTCTTCTTTGTGCATTGTTGACAAGCGCAGGTGACTTTCTACCCCATCAACCTTCAGCGTCTCCCTTAACTGGTCTGTGATGAAACCGGCATTCAACTGGCAATCAATCAGGGCATACGTCAGAACACACTGGTCATCATTAGAGCTTGAAACCCAAACTGGAACTATCAAGCTTTGGTCATGTCCGAGCTGCTGACCTTCAATGGAGCAGACACTTGTGCACTTAGCTGTAGCATCACCTTCATCGGGGTGGATAATCTCTGCATTGGAGGTGCCTGTACAGCTAACTGATGGCTTAGGAATTTGTACCTCAGCTTCATTAGCATTTTCTTTGTGCAGACAGGATGGGTGTTTCTGTTTGCATTTCTTGCAACTTGGAACACTTTCACACTTGTTCTCTTTTGCCATGTGATCATTAGTTAAACACTTTAGGCAAAGTCCCTTTCTTATGATGAACTGGATTCTCTCATTCCGGGGTTTCTTCATGAAGTCTCTGCACGAATCAAGATCATGTGACCTATAACCACAACAAAGACAGGCTGCTTTCCTTTCATCCTTTGGTGTTGGCTCTTTGTTTGCTCCCGTAGCAAGCGTGTTAGCGTCATCACCCTGTCGATTTCCAAACCTTGTTTTGGGATTCCTGGCCTTGATGTCTTTCGTGAATCTGTTCGTGTCTAAGTTTGTAAGTACAGGAAGGCACTGTATTTCTGCAATCTCAGCAACGAATTTAACAAACTCCGAGAAGGGGGGAAACTTGCTGTCACCGTGCTTGATTTGATAGTCTCTCACTCTGACTCTCCATTTAGGAAGTGCCCAGCCAGGCAGAACCATTAGCAGCTGCTTATTGTCATGTTGTTTCTTTAGGGTTTCAAGATCTTCTATGCACCGCATGGCCAGTTCACATGTTTTGAGGAAATCTGCGAATTCTCGCAAAGCGGATCCATCTTTGGGTGGAATCTTTGGTCAACCTTCCAACAACAGCGGGGTGCCCGAATCATCTTTCAAGAATCTTCTTAGCTTCTTCATAAGCGTCACCGGTTTGGACGAACTGATATCCTTCGACAATTTTCTTAGGAGGCCCCAACAAGTACTGCAGAAGGTACAGCATTTTCTCGTTCGTGTTAGTAGCCCTTTTCTCGATCACAGTTTCGAAGGCAACCCTCCATGTTGGCCAACCAAGGGGGTCTCCACTGAATACTGTAAGGTGAGGCGTCGGTAATCTTGCCGCCTCCATACCTTCAGCTATCGCCTCAGCGATTGCACGGTGCTGATTTTCAGTGCTGGCAGGTCCACTAAAGGGCTGAGTGAAAACAACGCTTGGTACTGAACGAGAGGGAATCTTCCCCGGCAGGTCTTGCACACTACCTTGGGTTTCCTTTTGATCTGAGCTAGTTCCTTGCACCATGTTTAGATGTGTGCTAAGGGCCATTTCTGACGACATGGAAGGATGTTCATCTTTAACTGAAGGTTCAAACAAGAATGGTAAAGGATCCTGACTGCCGGTGGAGGAGAGAGTTGTTTAAGACGAGACATAGTTGCGAGTCCGTTCCTCCTTATCGTTTTTAGTGATCCCGAATTGGTCAAGGTTCAGCTACTTGGGGTTCCCTTCTTCATCTTCTATCTTCGCCACCGCATCTACTTCTGCTTTAGCACTTTCGTAACTCTTCAGTCTTTGAATTTCTTCTATTTCGAATTTCTTCCTTTGCATTTCCATTTGCTTTTGAGCTTCAAGTCTTGCATATTGCATTTCCACCTTCCTCTTGGCCTACTCAGTCATAGTTTTAATCTTCATTGAAGAAATTTGAGAGGCACTTGAGTGCTTTGAGGAATGACTACTTTTCTTGGAGGATGACGTTTTCCGCCTACAACGCGACCGCAATTCCACCTTTTCCAGTTCGAAAATCCTTTCACCAATCCTTTTCCTCAACTCCATTGCTTGCCTGTTCAAGTAATCTGTTTCACGAGCCACATCATTGGCATATTCGCTTGGTAATAGCAGCACGAACTCCGAGGATCCCTTAGCTTATCTTCTAATTTCTTCTTACATTGATTGTAATTCTTTTTCCGAAGAGGGAGCTGATAATCCAGCCCCCTCTCAATAGGAACGCGAACGCGAGTACTCCTTCTGATTCCAGGTAAATCAATCCCGGCCGCTGTTTCCTCAAAGTTCAAATCCGATTCATCCTCCACAACTACGGAAGTCCGGTCCATGATTCCAAACTCTCAACAAGAGCGGTTCGAATCTTGCACGGCACAAGTTTTACTGTGACCACATTGAGACAACAACTCAAACGTGGTGAATTCTAACACTGAAAAACGGCTGTTGTTTTACTGACAAGTAGATAAGGTTGACGTAAAACTAGAAAGAAAAATACAATTGAAAGATCTTAATCATGCGACGAGAAATGTACTAAGTAAACAAATACGAATACAAACTTAAGTAG